AACAAATTCTGTTTTTTTGCAAGCAATTCCGTTAATGTCTAATTTCTTGGTACCTATAAGAAGACTGCTTCTACTGTTGACCCTAAAAAATTGCACTGTTAAAAGGTTTTCATTTGTCACTTCCAGATGGTATTAATTTTTTTTATTGTGCCGTCTTTCCCACCGCAAATCTAACGTCTATGTTATTTTTGCTTCAATTCAAAAATTCAAAGAAACTTCTAAAATTTCCCTCCCATTTTGAAAGAGACAGCACTGGGAACTTTTAAATTAAACTTATATTTATCCAGATATATATGATAAGATCTAATATCAGCTTTGCCTACTGAAATATCCTTTGAGATAGATTTTGAATTTCTTTGTACATTTAATTTATATGTTTACTGTGGTAATTTTAGAACATGTAAAACGTAAGGAATACATTTACATGCATCATGGATTTAAATTAAGTCATTTTTGACATTGCAAATTGTACTCAGGAGTAAACGGACATTTTAAAATAAAATTTAATAATTTAAATAAAGAAACTAAGATATTCGTATCATATAACAGGTGTGTCAATAAATATATAAACCGATATATTTTCAATAAAACTTTGTAGTTTTAAAAATCAAGGAAAATTTATTGAAACAAAACAAGTTCAGTTGACCACTGATGACAATTCCAGAACAACGTAACTATAAACAATTTTTTTTCTATCCTCTTCCAGCTGGAGTGATGGAGAAAGCATTACCTCGAACCATGGCCAGTGAGACACGCGGCAAGAGCCAATCCGTTTCCCGAGGCTCGTCCCTTAATCGAGACGCCATCCCTCCCACCCTCCGAGGGAACGCCATCGAACGAGGGCCAATAACCCCTGAACTCGCCACTGCCACAGAAGTAAAAAAAAAATCTATCATCAAGAGAAGAATATTTAACTATTTTTTCATCTCTGCGTCCCGGGCAACGGATCCCGGCTCAACCGCGGAACTGATCAAATTACCGACCGAAAATATATCCGCATCCAAAATCAACGACTTCCCTATTTTAAAAGGGAAATTGTAATGTCATCCGGCCGCTTTCCATCACCGCGGTCGAGGCCTAGGGGTTCGATTTGGGAAGGGAACCCAGCTGCATCCAAACCTCTTTTGATGATGTTGTTAATGGCTGCATGCCGTAGAAAGCGGCCGGCACTACGACGACAGGAGAGAGGATGGAAACTAAATAGCAAACTACTACACATTCTTGCCTTCCAATTAATCCTCTTCCTGTTGTCCATTCAATTTTGCTTTCATATACGTCACCGCCTCCAAGAACATTTCACAGTCCTTCTTTTTTATGATCTTCAGAACCCCAGTAACCCGGGTCATGATGGCCTTGACACGCTCGAAGAATCTTGCTATTAGGACACTAGCAAACTGGTGAAAGAAGCAGAAGTCGCATATGTTTGGATTCGGTTGGTTTAAAACCATATCGGCCTTTTTTAGGTTATTTAATGCCGAATTATGTCGTTTTCCTGAATAGATAGACATAGGTTTGGTTTATATGACAGTCAAATGTTAACTATAGGTAAAGTAAACGAGTGGTTGGTCACTCTTAAGATGCAGTCGGTGTATTCTAGACACTGACTGACAAATGAAAGGCACATGGTAGAAGATCTGACGAGGACTAAGGCAGGTCTGCTCTCCATAAACTTTGTATAGATTGGATTATTTTCCACCAATTCACCAAATAACTTAGTATTTGTTTTACATGAGATAGAAAGGTCAGGAGAGCCATGATCGCCATAGTCCAGAAAATAATAATAATAATAATAATGGTTATGAAGATAGGACCTGTTACAATTCTATGGGACTACACAATACACACTGAGAGAACAATCAAAGCCAACCGCCCAGACATTGTTATTAAAGGCCACAAACAAAAAAGTAACACCTTATTGATGTGGCAGTCCCTGCAGACTGCAATGTATCTTTGAAGATCTTCAAAAAGCTGTCAAAATACAAGGATCTTGAAATCGGAATCTCAAAAATGTGGCACATGGGAACATCAACAAACCCTGTTGTAGTCGGAGCCCTAGGATTGGTTGGAAAAGATTTCAGTAGACTAATTGAAGGGATTCCTGGTAGCTCATGCCTTAAAGAGATACAAAAAATTGTTATCACCATTACAGACCACACCCTACGAAGGGCTTTATCTATGTAAAATATGTTTGTTTTTTTTGTTTTTTTTTTTTATTTGTCATGAGGCCGTTTCTAAACTTAGGTCTCTCGGCGGGATTCGGAACGAAATGTGAACTCGCCAGAAATCAAAGGAAATAATAATAATAATAATTAGAAGAAGAAGAAGATGAAAACGGCGACGACGACTCTACGGGAGTTAGAATGAAGTATATGGCACACCCGAGATCATATCGGAATATACTTAACAATCAATGTGACGTTAGAGAATCCAGTTGCAGGGTGATACCGAGGTGCTACCATAGCTCCCTAGCACAGATTCATGTTTCCAAACCAAGCGCCTATGTATGGAAAGTGTGGAGCAGAGCCGCATGACAGAGGTAGATATATAAGCACCCACTCAAGCGTCAATAGGTACATTCTCTCAGACATCGCAGACGAAAATGTAAGGTCAACTTTTCAGATTAGGAACCACGAGACTGCACATGCACAGACACACATAGATACACGCAAACATACACATATACAAACACACACACACACACACACACACACACACACACACACACACACACACACACACGGCTGACCATTGTAATCATTCACATCTAGTACCCTCTATGCTATTTAAATTGGGTCAACAGTTTTCTCATTTGCTTCATAATCCATTGGTTAGTAAGTATTTCTACTTAGACATCTTCCCTAGAACACTTGCATTGTGGAACAGACTCCCGAGTTGACGCATCCCTTATCACTCCGATCTTAACCTTTTCAGTTTAGGTCTAACCTTTATCTCTCTTTCACATCCTCATAATATACACATTTTTTTTCCTTCTAGTAAGCCTTCACATCAACTTAATTTTAGTAAGCCTCTACAATGAGTTGCTCTTGAGCCTTGTATCTGATGAACACTAAAATAAAAGAAGCAACTGACAAAGTACACGAATTAAATAAATTATAATGTTACGTAAATACGATGGATTAACTCTATTGCTCTCATTTGGTACAAAATATATGATTACAGGAAAACGATCTTGGGTTTTTCCAAGTCGGTTTTTTCTTGAGTTTAAAAGCCATAGGTTTATAGTTAATTCTATAATGGTCCTCATTATTGTTTCTCTCCAGAGTGACGTCATCACCAGCATAACATTCGTTTCTGTTTTGCCACACTTCGTATGTTTCAAACATGGGCGTTTGTTAGCGAGATGGTATCGGAGACGAGTACTTCTAGAGCTAGTGAAATCTTCGCTTGTTGCCCCAGAAATGTTGCCTTGTGCCAGATATACAGAAATTTATCAAATAACGATCTCTTATTCTTTGTTCTTGTTTTGTTTTTAATATTTAAGGATTTATAAATGGAAAATTATCCTTTGGTTTGTTTACTTTTCATTGTTCGAATCCCTGGACACATACACACACACACACGCGTATATAAACACGCAGTCTCGGACACACATAAACTCAGTGAGCCACGGACACAACGACACAAAAAAGTAGAAAGAAATACAAACACCGGCGCACACGCACATACACAAACTCACACGATCACGGACAAAACATACACACGCGCGCAGAAAGAAATACACACACAGAGACACAGACATAAAATGAAGAAAACGTATGCACACAGAAACACTTACAGTCTGTAAGCAAACACATACTCACGCAGATACGCAGAAACAAATACACACCCTCAACCGCACAAACACACACAAGCCCGTAAACACATACACACTTATAGACAGATACACAGAAACACCCGTAAACATGCAGAAGCATTTCAGACATTAGCTCAAGCTCACAAAGAGACATATATATAAACACAACAACGCTGAAAGAAATACACACGCTCCCATGCACATAGACATACATACTCACAAGTGCACACTCACAAGTACGAACTCACATGTAAACACACACGCATGCGCAATCACTTACAGAAACACACAGAGGCAAAACCCACTTAAAAACACATTCACACGCAAATATGTACACTTTAACACACACTCATTCGCACAGGAACACAAAGACACGTATATACACACAAAAGTGTAGAAACAAGTACACACACTCACATGCAGAAATACACATTCAGACGCATAAACATGAACACATATGAAATCACACTCACGTACAGAAACATTTGTGCTAGTACGCACACTCTTTCGCACACGCAAACACGAACGGAGAAACAAGAACACATGATCACATATCCAAAGATACACACGCTCTAGCACGAACACACACACACACAAGCGTACACACGCTCTAGAACGCAAACACACACAAACATGCGCGTGCACACACACACACACACACATGCGCGTGCACACACGCACACACACACATGCGCGTGCACATACACACACACACAAACAAGCGTACACACGCGAGCGCAGATATAAGGTTGGAATGGAATCCGAATCACTGTTCATTCCTGGAGAACTTGATCGTCTCACTTATTTTAAGGATTTTTCTTTTATTACGCGCGACGTTGTTATATTCTACGAACACATGGTTAACTACAAACTAAGGGCTGAAAGAAATGCACTCAGTTAGAAATAGTCAGACCTGTTTAGAATATTGCACATGAAAGAAAGAAGAAAGAAAACAAAATGGAGGATTCCGCAAAAGGCGGCAAAATAGTCCGTCTGGCTTGTACGCAGGCGTGGAAATTACCGGTAGACACTAATAAAAGATTAAACACTCAGACAGAGCATAAGCTAATAAACGCTTTAAAGAATTTCCATCACGGGGAATCCAAAGTATATGGGAGGGTCCTTGAATGTAGTCGGTGGCTGACAAAGAGACGGAAAGATGGGTGGGTGGTGGAGCGGCGAGAGAATGTCAGAAAAAGTCTCGCGAGAGTTGGATGAGGATGTGAGTGAGAAAGTCTGACCTGAATGGAGTTAGTGGCTAATATGTCGACAAGAAACGGGAGTTGGTCAGTAAATGTAAAAGCAAGTAAATTGAATCGACCGCTGATAGTAAATGCTATCGTAATTGTATCGTTAACGGCTACGCTTCCAAGTCACAATTACAAGACGGGCTTTAGCAATGATTCCGTTCATCAGAGTCTGTGATTGAATTTTACTTGAGACGCTTTTGTAAATTGCATAGGATTCAGGCAGGCGGCCAGCTGACTACTCGCTCGTTGGCCATCGCAATCGCTTTATCGTTATATTGTACCGAGTATCCCAATATACAAATAACAAGTGTGCCGGGTGCGTTTGATGCAAACCAGCTCTAAATGTCGAATTGTTGTTGCATAAAAGAGGTTTAAACTTGTCAATTTCATCGGATCGGTCATCTGAAACTTCGAGAGGTAAACATAAAAAGTAAAAGCTGCTGATCGTTTGCAGCACATCTTTCAAGCTGTTGTTTGGATGTTCGTTCCTCACTCGCCACCTTATGCATACGGCTTTGTGCCAGAGTCTACTTCGGTCTAATATCAATCTGTAGAACGATGGTTAAAACTTTAAGGCTGGAATCGTCCAAATGTGCCTGCAACTTTTACACACTGTATTTCAATACACGGCTTTAGCAATGACCAACAAAAGCCGACTCAAATCTACAACCTTTTGGAAAATTTACAACTTTTACAAAGTTGTAGATTTTTAAACCCATATCTCGTAATTACTAAGATGAAGGAGATTGAATTTGGTGCTATTTGAAAAAGAAATCAATTTGATTAATATAAAATCAATTTGCAAGACTTGACTGTCAACAGCTTTTGAGATACATAAATATAATTGCAACTAACATCACATATTCGGATTTTGTAACAATTCAGTCAGTACTCCAAGGATTTAACAATTAAAATTTCTTAAGTGTTCATAGGGCTAAAGAGCAAGTTTCGCAAACTATTGAAAGTAAGTTATTTTCTTAGTGAATACTCCGACATATTTAACTTCAGCTTATGTTGCCATATTCTAGCAAATATTTTGATTCAGAACAATGTTTTTTTTTTAATCTCCCCATATAAGGCTGTAAAACAACTAAAGCACTAGGGTTATAAGACGTGGAAGAATTAGGAACAGAAACATTAAGGACACATGTCACAGTGGATAAGGGCGTTAGTTAGATCCAGTGACAGGACACAAAGGGTCGTGAGTTCATTACCAGGTTAAGGCAGTGGAGAGGTGAATTAACAGAAGATAACTGATAACTGACACCCATTAGACATGGCACGTGGAACTAGAACAATCTACCCAAGCGAACGAAATAAAGGGTTCAGTTCGACATTCCAACCACCTGAAGAAGGCCGGAGCGTACAACGGCCGAAACATTGTGATAAATAAGCCAACAAAGATAAGGAAAATAGTCCGAGTAATGTAAATAGTTTACATAATACCTCATCTAAGAAATATAGACAGATACAGAAACATTAATAATGAATGGAAAGAGAAAAGAGTAATCAGGAGTATAGAGATAGCGATTGACATTGCATTTATATTTTTGCAGATTAAAGTTGGCTGGAAAGCATGAAGCCGGAAGGGAGTTCCACAAACGAGAAGTGTGAAAAAAAGAAAATGTTAGCATAGAACTTACGACCACATCTAGCCAGATCAACTCCAGATTGATGAGATCTCAGTGCCAGTCTAGTACTGCGCTTAAATTCAAAAACTCTAGATAACATAGTGCAGAGATCATCCGAACAATTACCATGAAAGAATTTAAAAAAAAAAAAATCACAGACAACCTTACGGCGGTTGGTAAGTGACTGAAGCCGAGTCACCAGATTTGGACGAGTAATATTACTGATGCTTCTTTGGATTTTATCAAGGAGCTGAAGGTAAATAGCAGGAGCACAGGATCATATGCGGCAGTAATATACTAAGCATGGATGAATGGTAGACTTATAGATATGTAAGAACGATTTTGGAGAGAAAAAATTGTCTCGCACGACACAGTGAACCGACATTCTTAGGAGTTGACCTAGCAATGAATTCAGTATTAACGAACAAGTACTTATGAATGCTTCAATAATTTTAACATGTGCCAAAGCCGGTTTTGTCTAGAAATATTTTACCATTGGGAAATGGTTTACTACATCTCTGTCTGTATAGAGAGGTGTCTGTTGAAATACAATGGTTTGCGCAACCTGTTAACAGCTAGTTTTTGGCACAGGGCTCTGTGTCAACATTACAAATAATTTGTGAGCCCAGTTCAATTTGCTGCCGGTATGAACGCGTTAAATAGCAAAGTAGATTAGCCAGTTTAGCTTTGGTTATCAACCAGCCAAGGAGAAGGGTAACTGACTTCAAAATTCTTTTTTTTTTTAACTTTTTAGATTTACATTCTGTCAGCAGGATATTTCCAGACAGATGTACTGTGCAATTTCTAGTAAAGAACATATAATATTTCGTTGTATTATCAGTATTAGGTTTCTTTCTATAGGAAACTACCGTGGCACTTAAGAGAAGATACAGTGTGCAATCAATACTCTCTGACGCCCACTCGCAAGAGATACGTCAGTTTACATTCTTCTTCTTCTTCTTCTTCTTCTCCTCCCCTCCTTCTTCTTCTTCTTCTTCTTCTCCAACACCTCATCTTCTTCTTCTCCCCCTCCTTTCTCTTCTTCTTCTTCTTCTTCTTCTTCTCCAACACCTCTTCTTCTTCTCCCCCACTTTCTTCTTCTTCTCCAACACCTCTTCTTCTTCTTCTCCCTATCCTCCTCTTTTCTTCTTCTCCAACACCTCCTCTTCTTCTTCTTCTTCTCCCCCCTCCTCCTTCTTCTTCTTCTTCTTCTCCCCCTTTCTTCTTCTTCTCAACACCTCTTTTTCTTCTTCTCCCCTATCCTCCCTTCTTCTTCTTCTCAACACCTCCTCTTCTTCTTCTTCTTCTCCCCTCCTCCCTCTTCTTCTTCTTCTTCTCCCCCACCTCATCTTCTTCTTCTCCCCTCCTCTTCTTCTTCTTCTCTCTCTTTCTTTCTTCTTCTTCTTTCTCCAACACCTCTTCTTCTCCCCCACTTTCTTCTTCTTCTCCAACACCTCTTCTTCTTCTTCTCCCTATCCTCCCTCTTCTTCTTCTCCAACACCTCCTCTTCTTCTTCTTCTTCTCCCCCTCCTCCCTCTTCTTCTTCTTCTTCTCCCTCCTCCCTCTCCTCCCCTCCTCCCTCCCTCCCCCTCCTCCCCTCTTCTCCCCTCCTCCCTCTTCTTCTTCTTCTCCCCCCTCCTCCTTCTTCTTCTTCTTCTTCTTCTTCTTCTTCTTCTCCAACACCTCTTCTTCTTCTTTCCCCTCCTCCCTCTTCTTCTTCTGTGATATTTTGGCGCTGGGATATCAGTTATTATTTCGTGCCTGTTGAATTGCTGGTTTACTACTTGATCAAAACCACTAGATGACAATTATACTTGTATAACGAACTCCTATGTCCACTATGCCACCGTATAGTGTTTTTTGGAGCCTTTTATATTCAATGTCAGATGGTTTTGACATTTGATTATGATGGCGGGTTCTTATCTCTTGAATTTTTGCCATTCCACAAGCGGTTCCGCTATCCATTTACAAACTCACGTAGATCTCCTGCAGCCTACCTCTTTCTCTTTCACCCTCGATATCTGAAGCCGTCATTCCTCATTATGTATCCTAGAATTCCATCTGTCTCTTTGTGATTATATGTATGTGTCCTTTTAGTTTTTCAATTCCTTTAAGACTTTTTCTTTTGGGAACGCTATTCTGATAAGGAACTGTTGCCTTTAAAACTTCATCGGATAGGAACAAATTAGTAAAATATAATCCAAAACCTGTTTTATTTATACAAATAATGCAATAATAGATTAAGCAGCAAAACTCAATTTAGAAAGATTTGATGAGCATTTTTTTTTTCAAGGTGAAAAATATTAATATTACATTGCAGCAGTAAAATCTTTCGGTTTCGAAATTGGCGTGTAAAGTTTATGTTAAAATGCAATTTATATGAAAATGAAGTTGACACATAGCAAGTGGATATGGTGTAGAATGACAGGACCCAAAGACTGAGTTCAATAACCGTTAAGGCCGTGCAGAACGAATTGACGGATTTTACCCCAGTGAGCGAAATAAAGGGTTCAGTTCGATATTCTAAAAAAGGCCGCGTCTAAAATAGTCTTAATGTAAATAGTGAAGTCATCCCAGAAATATAGAAGATACTGAAGGATCGGATAAATATGGCAACAAAGATGAGGGGTCCTCAAATCTGAAATATAGACAGAGACTGAAGGATCGGATCTCAAAGATGAGGCGAATAATAATGTAATAATACCTCATCTGTTCTCGTAATAAATTCTCGATGAGGACAATAGTCGAATAATGTAAATTTTTTTTCAAAACTGATGAATCATACACTAATGTCAGGGGCGTTACGGTGGCCTCTCTAGATTTGGCTTTCAACCAATCTAGGATAAACAAAATCTATTTAATTCAATAAAACTTGATCAAACTTAAAAAGCTCCATCCAATTAAACTTTCGGTTCTATTTAGATTTCACTATGTCTTAGTTCTAATCTTAGTCCCTTAACTTCGTAATCTCCATAGTGAACTGAACTGCACAATGTCTTCGGCTTCTACATAATCTTAATAATATCGGGCCGAATGCCATTGAGTTCTGCCTAGATTCCACATTGGAATTATTTTAACAAGGAATAAGTTCTAGTGTTCCAAATTCAACTGGGCTAACAATGCCTGCGTTATATTGCATTCACTTTCCGGTTCAAATACCTTTTTTGGTCTATCTCATTTAAAAAAGTCTATCACGGAATTATACCGTGACCTCACCTCATTTTTCGTCTTCTCTGCAGCTATGGATTGCACATAAAATAACTCTGAATTCTCCGAGCTTCTCGACTTGACGGTCGAACTCTCTGCCTATTGACAAACCAGACAAACAGAAAACGTTAAATAGAAACCCTCGTGGGGTGGCTAGATTTCAGTGAAATCGTTAACATCAGTTGGATAATCTCATTTAGTTTAATAGTCTAAAACATTTTTTTATAGATATGACTGTTGCATCTTTTACTGTATTTCGGGATACCCTGTAAACTGCATACCAGCGTTAGATAAAAATAAAAATCAATTTTTACTAAAGCTAATAATAAATATTTGTCAAAATTTCAATAACGTTAACCTATCAAAAAATGTATATTTATTCAGTGCGATCCCTTTGTTACAAAACCTAGTATTTTTTAATGTCATGTTTCTCTCACGACATACAAGTTTTATTTTATTTTATTGGTTTATATTAGATCGATTAACTGCTGACCAGGTAAGTTCCATCAGAAACCGGTCTATAACTCCTCAATTTCTTGATCTGTTTAGCCTTAATAAAATATGTCGGGCGATAATTAGTGAAAAAATTAAATTAAAGCGGTGATCGGGTGTTGACAATTTGAAATTCGGCACACAGAATTTTTTTCTTAACTGAGAATTCTTTAGACGAGTTTATCTTTCGATTGATAATGAAAAAAATCTGTTGGTTATTGTCGGGTGTTAAAGAAGTTTACATTTAAAAATAAATAAAATAATGGTGTACTTTTTTTTCAACACCTTTTTGCCATGTCCATTCTTTCTCCAGTGGTTTGAATTGCCATGTGTTCTTGTGAAAGATAGTGGAGTGGTTTTTTTGCCTTTTATCCGTGGATGGATAAAAGGACAATACCAACGATAGAGACCATCATTATGCCAGTTTATTAGGTTGGTGCAAAAATATGACGTAATAATGTCGTTTTTAACATATTTTTTAACGTCAAAAAAAACGTCAGCACCAACCTAATTGCATTGGGATGCCTTTCTTTCAAAGAGCAGTAGTGTGAGGTGAACGTAACAGACCAAGCCGCAACGTGAACTCGGCTCGCCGATTAAATTTTGCAATTTTCATGACCAGTGCACGCCTAACTTCAGCTCAGTTGTTTTAAAGAACTCAAAAGAAAAAACACAAGTGGTAACCACTACGTGCGCTGAAGTGCCTATCTGTAGCTATGACAATCACTCGTCTTTTAAGGAACTTTTAAAATTTATCCCACATTTTTTATTATTGATGCAGCAAAACTCAATTTTGATGTTTTATTCTTGAAATTAAAATGGATGAAAATGTTGATACAATATTTAATATCACGCACATTTTTGCTAAAAACGCGTCTAAAATATCTTTTTTAACAAGATCGTAATGGGAAATCTGAACGTGCATTCGTTTTTTTTTTTCAACGCATCAGGGAGCGTTACGGTATCTGTAAAAATTATAATTCATACACGATCAGTAAAATATTAAACTTTCGTAGCAAATGTTTATCGCCGAAACTGTGGAAAGAGGTCTAGTGTTTTCTGGCTATTATGTTGCATTCACTTTCACTCTCAGGAATCTGTCCTTCTTCAGCTATGGTTGGCCTTAATGTCGAAATATAGAAAGGTTTTTCAGTGAGTCGAGTCTTAATAGTCAAACAATGTAGATGTGTTTACTTTCGGGCCTGAAACGGCTCCCCAATAAAAATAATCAATTTTTCAAAGAAATATATGAAAGTAACCTATCAAAAATTATATTTGCCATAACATTTTTTAATGTCATGTCAGATTTATCAATTTCTTTTAATCTCTCCGAATTCTTATAGTGTTTTTCACATTTATTTCTCCAAGGTTTCAGCATTTCCCGTATCCGTGGATGGATACAATACCAAGGATAGAGAATCCATTATGCCAGATATTTAACATAGATTGAGGAAAATAAAAAAAAAAGATTGCATTCATGCCTTTCTCAAAGGCACTTATACACATTGAAGGTCGGCTAGAACTCAGAACACCTGGACCACTAACCAACATCCTTTATTTCCACTGATTTGTCATGTGTCCGAAGAATTTTAACAGACGATGGGAAATCTGAACGTGCATTGGAATAGCAAAAGACATAATATTAAAAATGAATTAAGCAAATTTTTACGAAACAGAAAGAACGTTTCGGCCGTTGTATGCTCCGGCCTTCCTAATGTCTTCAGAAACCATTTTTTAACAGACTGTTCTCATATTGCCATGTTTTTGGCAGTTGTTATCAATCTCCATGTTCTTTTAACCAGAGCTCATCCTGGATTTCAACGCCTTTATCCACTTTCGAATTTCTGGGTATTTGTCATTTTTATCGATTTTCTCTGGCACATATTTCAACTTTATTACTGGTTAACATATTGTATTCATTTCTATGCTTGGTCGGATCAGGAGATTTTTGTGGTATAGCATAGGTTCTGATTCCTTAAGTTTACGAATTTTCCAACAACAAAAACAGTCTACCCCAGTGAGCGAAATAAAGGTTTCAGTTCGACATTCCAAACACCTGAAGAAGGCCGGAGATTAAAACGGCCGAAACGTTTTAATAAATATGGCGATAGTCCGAATAATGTACATAGTGTACACAATACCTCATCTCAGTAATATAGACAGAAACAGAAAGGAATTCATTAGAAACAAAACGGTTTTGGCTGTGAATGCTGGACAATCTTCTCACAGAAGACTTGGAGGCAACAGAAATCTGGTCCGACAGAAGGATGCTGAGAATTCCATTGACGGAGCGCGAAAGCAAGGAAGAAGTGTTATGGGAAATGAAAACAAAAAGGACACTTATATTCAGATTCAAAAGGATACAGCTGCAAATTTATTGGACTCAAAATGCGGATGAAAAGTTTGGAGAATATGATACTCATAGGACATGTCGAAGGCAAAAGGAAACGGAGGTGGCAGTGGGACACCTACCTGACGAGCTGGCATGAATGGATGGCGGCACCGGATTGGCGAGGAGGACAAAAAGACAAACATTGCTAAGAGCTACAAGGGATATGAAGTTGGGGAGAGCCATCATCACTCATATCCTGAAGGGACACAGCAGGTAGAAGTTTTTGAATTCCCAAACAACTAGAATCTTAAAGTCATTTATCTCATAATTACAGAAAAAAGGGAGGGGGACAAGAAAAACATTTATTGTATTGCCCTCTTCTTCTGGGGTTCTCTTGTGTGACGGTCTTGAGTCTGTTGCATTCTTCTCTCTGTCATCTTCCGGAGATAAGAAATAAGAACTTCAACAGAAGGGATTATAGACTTATCTATTTTATTTATTTTATTATTTTTACCTAGTTAGTGAGGTCGCTCTATCCCCCCCACAACTCGGGATCAGTTTCCTCCCACAAAATTAACACGTCTGTATTGTTCGACACGTAAAACTTAACTCACTGAAAAAAATTTTCTAACTCTAACATTTCCACGTTCATCTCAGCCAATCATAATCGACATCTCTATTTTATCTATCATCTGACCTTAAAGATCAGCTTCAGAAAATCAGAGCCAAATAAACTG